TGAGCAGTTCTCAGTCGTCTTTCTTCCTGTGAAGCCATGCCTCCCTCACGCGGCTTTCCCCGATACCAGCTTTATGAGCACGACATTTAACTTTCTGGAATTGTATTTGCAGATAACAGAGCGTTGTTGTTTTCTCTTACATCAATTTCTCTTCTCCATTTCCCTCCCAATGGCCGCCCCGCCCGTGCTTTTGTCCTCTTCAGGGTATCCTTTATCCTCACACCCCTCTCCCACCCTCTCTTCTCCCAATTACCTTAACCCACGTACCCTATCATTCCCGAGTAGATTATATTCATCATCATTACTATATATATCCCCACCAGTTATTGAGTGAGTGAAAGATATACCCTAGCCAGGCTAATCCATAATATCAGTCCCTTTTATTACCTCGTTTCCCTTGATTCAATGCATTACGGGAAACGATCTCGCCAGTCCGGCTCCTCATAGGAAAATAAAATCAGTAAGTTAGTTACTACGGTAGGTGTTACATACTTTCATTCTTTCATTTCCCTTTTCGTCCAATTGTTCCTGTCCAATTGTTTCTGTGATTACTACTTACATACATACTGGAGTTTGACTTGGGGAAAAATGCTGTGTGTGTTTGCATAAGTAGTCATACTATTTACTCATTTTATAATAGTACTATCGATATTATATATATATGTATTTATATACTTCTGAATCGTATTCATCTTATACCTTCCATACTTTTTTGAAATGGATTCGTAAGTGGGTAGCGAGGTAGGTAGTAGGTAAAATTGGTAGTAAAACCCATGGAGGTAACTAGTTGGCTGGATGCTAGTTAGCCGTGCTGCTGCCGACCGGAGAAGATGTTCTAGATGTTGGGTTGGTGAAGAAGTAGTACCGAATGGCCAATGTCTACGAATTCGGTCGCAGAGGGAGGAGTGACTAGGAGGGACATACTAGGTAGGTTACTAATTGCTCGGATTTGAATATTTCTGGGGGAAATGTTCTGTAACATACATAGGCTCTATAAATTGTGGTGACTTAAGCTTGCCTATTACGGTTGTCATGTGCTATAGACTGCATTCACCTTTATCTGTGTTTTCTAATCTGAAGCTTCTATGAAAATGTGCTTAGTGTCGACTACTAACCTACCCTTTTACGTGTTAGGAGACTCCAAGCATCTATTCCTACCAACTTGAGATCATGGGTTCGCTCCAGACTCATGATGGCCTCCTATTAAAGGCGTTAAAGGTGCCCTTCTACTTCCTTGCCTCCCTTGTGTAACCTTCGTTGAGGTTCAGATGACGGATGATGGCTGGCTGCTCGCCCTGAAGTTAGTAGTAGGAACGGAGGTCACGGAGACAGTGGTTGTTTGGTCTTCAGATGTCTCGGATACGTGCCGAATAGAGAGACTCGGGAGTATCTTTGACTCCATTTCCTTGCTTGACTTGAAGGCGTAATGCTGATCTACTGAGCGTGAATGGTTGTGGTCGCCCTGTAGTATCCAATCTTGCCTTCTTTTTCGGGCCTGATTTATGATCCGACGGCCATTCACATCGAGACTGAAACACTTGCGTTGGGCGGAAACCATCCGTTTAGCCACCTTAGTGGCCACCTGCGGCTGATACGCGTCCTGTGAGTCAGTCACCTAGACAGGCATATGCAGAGGACACAGGGAAAGAAAATGGGAGTCATGAGGGAGAATGGAGTGTGCAAGGCAGAGAAAGATACAAAAGTGATGCTGAATGATGCAGAGGCATTAGACGTTGCACAGTGGTATAACGAAGGCGAAAACCAGCCCATCACAAGGAGTCACGCTGCTCCAAAGAATCTTGGCATGGTGAGCGCTGGTTGAAAATTGTATATGAACCTCACTTAGGTTGCCGTCGTGGCTGGGATTCGGCGACTAAGGAATCTGGCGTCCCAGTAAAGTCAGGAATGAGCCGCGATGATCGCAAGGCCGATTAGCTGGGTCGACTGGATATTGCAATCCCGGGTCCCCAGACTTGGAGAATTAGTGCATGCATGTCGTTGGCTGGAATCGGACAGCCTGTTTGGTAGCACCCCGCTCGCGATGTTCTGGAAAAGCCAAAGAGAGGATGACAGAAGGCCCAATGACTAGCGGATCCGGATGAACTTCTACTCCAGACGTATGGAGTAGTCAGCGTCATGATGGCCGAATGGAATAAAAAAGAACCAACTGAAGGGGAGCACTGATGTGGCGGTGAGGGACGATGCGAGCAAACGGACCATAGGCGAATGAAGGGCCTCACAACCCCACAGCCGCTGCATTCCTTTCGTTTCCCCCCATCCGCAATGCACCCGCCGTCGTTGGGTCGATGTCAACGGAGGATCTTAATACCCTCCACTCCGGAGACATTCTTTCATCCATCAGAGGCCTAACACGGACCTCATCTGCATCGGTTGTTGGGCGCTGTGGGCGCTGCGGGGACAATCGTCTCACGATCCAAGCGGCCTTGACCCGGTCTGCATCCAAGCCATCCTAGTCTTAACCCAATGGAGCCCATGCAGCGAAGACAAATGTTGAGCAGCCGGTTGCATAAGCTCAAGGTGTCAGGTCTGACGGCGTAGGCTGATTTGAGCCGGCAATCGCATGGTATGGAGGGCGTCTTATCATTCATCCCAAAGTAGCTCGTTCTCAGCGAAAGAGAATCAGAAGCCGAAAACGAAAATTGAATTGCGACGCATTCAGGCCAGAAAACCTGGGGATTGAAAGCTTGTGTGAGACTCTCCAGTCTCGCGTTGGGCCCCTGTGTTACCCGTTAATCCGGTCGGGCTGATGGCCAAGTGAAAAAGGCCTTCCTCATGAGTGTAATCGACCCGCGGATCTCCTGGATTTGGTTGTGCTTAGGCATTCTTGGGTATATTGGGAGAAAAGGCAGACGGCACAGTCAATATTGTAAGGCGACAACCTCCAGATAGCGTGAGGCAGCAAAGGTAGTAGAGCAATGATGGTGCCCACATGGGACGATCGAGAAACTGACTCTCACTGGATGTGACGGCCTGTCAGCGGATGTCACCGTGAACTCGGCGTAGATCCTGAGTGGTGTATTCCCAATGAAGTCAGCAACCCAGCCAGACATGGAAAGGGGTTGATTGTATCCATCCCGTTGACCTGTCAGCGTAGAATTTTGTCCCGTATTGACCTTATCCCAAATTTCAATTTGGCGCCCCTCTCGCCGCCTCGACCTGACCTTCCCTGTACCTTGCCCTTATAGTCAGCTTTGGGATCGGGCTCCAAGGCCGTGACTGTCCTCCCACGTAACAGGCTGTGTAATTTTCTCATGGGGTAAGCCATCATAGTTGAGGGTTCTGGGAAAGAGAGATTCGGATTCGCAAGGAATTCTTTGTTCCCTGCAACCCCGTCGAGGTGCTATCGTCCAGATCCACTCGGCCCCATCTGCCGTCGAGCTGCCCACGTAGGCGGCGTTTAGAGCGCTTGTCCCATTGAGGCCCCAGGTGTGTAATCTCGCTCATTGACTGAAGATATTTCTATGATTGAAGAAACATCACACATAGCCGCTGATAAGCGAAAGGGGGAAGCACTTGCAGGTACCGGAATCTCGGATGGCCTTGCGTTCTTTCGCACGTCATCAATCTGGCACCAGGAAGGAACCCTGTCGGTTACACGATTTCTTCTCCATTTCAGGGGTGTATTTCTGCCCTGCCGTGCCACTTGAGAGGTTCTAGGTTGCTGGGCCGAGATAGCTAGCATGCGGCAAGGCCACCGTCGGTTTTTTGCCCACCTTCTGGCCCTCTTTCGTTCATTTCTTTTTCCTCTCTATTTTTTTCTGCGTTCCTTCTCCCCCTCACAATTTAATTCCGGCATATGCAGAGGTGTCCAACGCCAACCCATGATCCTCGATTCTGCCCTTTCTTAAACATCGTAGATCCCGTGATTTTGTCAATTTCCATATCTCATACATCCCGTGTTGAAGTACCCTTGCATGCATTTTCTGCTATGCAAATCCCGTTACCAGCTTCTCTCGACAGGAAACATAATACTAACCCAGCTGAAGAGATTTGATTGCGAGCGCTTTCAGCCCGCTGGTATCCACATCCATCGAGATGAATTGCGTCGAGTAACGGAAGGATTTCTCGGAAAAGAAACGACAAACACCGGGAACTGATCAATGTTAGGTCAAATAGCGGTGGCATAGCTGATGAGAAGACCGCGATTGGTCGTCTCATGATTCGGCAATTCCGTAGTCACGCAACTCTTATCGCCGTTGGTCGTCCTTCTGTTGAATGGCTCTTCTACCACAGGCCGCAGCACACAAGCTTTCCCAGCCACCCAGCCTCCTGATATTGATGCACATGGGTAGCCCACGGGATTCGGAAGGTGGAGGAAAGAATGAAACGGTACAGCGAAAGAAGATGGGCAACAGAAACCTCTCACGGGAGCTGAGCGCTAGAAGAAAGGGTAAGAGAGTTGTGACAGATCAATAGTTCAACAGAAGTCCCCAATATAAGAAAAAATATACGTAACTTCGCACGTCCGCTGAGGACCAGAATCGGAAGCACTTGAGCTGGTGTCTCGTCATTACATCCCCCTTTTATATCTCCGGTGGCCCCATTGTCCATTGCAGCCCGATGATGGGGAATCTGACCTGGGACAGACTGGATGCCCGACAAAAATTGCCACGGGAGCGCGGGTTGGGGACTGAGTGGAGGAGGTATGGGACGGCCTGGACCAGGCTCCGGCCATTCATAGATCTCTCCTAAAATTTCGCTTTCCAAGCCAGAGCGGGGTCAATTCGGAGAAAGGAGCGAATTGGCGGCCAGATAGTGAGGGACGGGCGGAATTGGGGGGTTGGGATTGGAGAGAAATGGAGGAATTGGGAAAGTGAGTGTCAAAGGGGTGGTGGGAAAGAAACCTCCGGGGATGGCCCAATGCCCAATGGATCAATCGCCCATCCCATCCCCCCTCTCAATTGAGGTCACAGTCCTCGTCATGGACCTTCCCGCCGGAGGGAAGACCCTCCGGTGAAGGCTATATAAACCCTCTTCTCATCCTTCGTCGTCCTCTTCCTCTTCTTCTTTCTCTTCTACCTCATCAAGTGCGGTTATCAGTTTGACGTGCATTCATTCTTGCTCGTGATCCCTACCCTGTGTCTTCCCATACACCTCCATCCCTTCGGAGCTAGACCTCGATACTTCCTTGTGACTGAAGAGTCTTCATCTTATAGTCCCCCATTGTCTTCGTTTCGACGCTCTTGTGGACCAAGCAACAAGACGAATCATCATGGCGACCCATCACTATCAGTCTCCTTCTCTTCCCATCAATGTTCCCTCTAAGGCTCCTGCTCCTGCCAGCCTCTATCCCATTACCAGAGTTTCTGGATCTCCTCCAGATATCTCTGACACTAGCACTACTGCAGGAAGCCGCACCTCTGCAGGTTTCAGCTACAGCTCTGGCAGCATCGGCGGCGATTATGAAACGAGCTCTGCGTCGTATTCTGGTGTGGATGTCGTCGACGTTCTCAACGACCGCATGCAGGATGTCTTTGATCCCACACCTTTGGACAGGGGACTGGCAACACAGGCACAAACGTGAGCATTTCTCTTTGCGGTTCCAAGGGGGTTCCAGCTGCCGTTGGATTGGGCCAATTTGGGATTCTGGCATGCAACAAAAATGAGATGGAAACAAACTGACGTGTAAGACTAGTTCCGGTCAGTTGAACGCCAAACAGCGAGAGCTTTTGGAATTGCAGGCCCTGGCACAACGTCGTCTAAAAGGAGTCCGAGCCACCTTCAACGACGGTATCAAAGTTGCTCGCGAGACCAAGCGTGACTTGGAATGGACACAGAAGCGTGTGAAGTGAGTTTCCAAGTTTCCCCAAGAGCCCCCCTGTATCGCATATACAGCAGCTGAGGGACTCCGCTCCGCCGGCGGAGAGCACAGGCGCCCGCTGCGCTCCGCTGTCAGAATATTTCTTGGCAGCGCAGTTGCTGCAGCAGGTGCTGCATCCCAGCCTAAGCCTCCATTATCCCAAATACCCCAAATACTGACAGATCACGTAAATAGTGCTCTCAAGGCAAAGGCCGAAAATAACTTTCCCGACGAGTATAGACGGGCGTCCAAGAAGTACACTTTCGACGACAATTAATCCCAAGCTAAGGGCTTATATTGGCTCGGTCCGGTTTCACATCGGTCCAGATTTTTGGAGGCACACACCTCTATTTGGCAACCACGATAACGGTTCTGTATAGGGTAAAATTGGGTTTCTGGGTTCGGATCTGGCGTGGGTTTTTGAAGGGCTACTTGATCTTTTTGCGTTATCTCGCGACTGAAGGGATTTTGGGCTGGTACATGTTTTTGCTTTTTTTTCCTCGGGCGCCGTGTCTTTGGGTGGACGCGTCGCTATACCATAGTGCGCTGAATCTGGCGAAATATACATTCGAACTTCGAACACTGGTTCTCTAGGACATCAACAGCAGTCGCGCTTGCGGTGGTGGGCGAGATCATAGCCAAAAGGTAATATCCACGTGCCAGAAATGCGGCCCACTGTGCATCAGCCCAAAGCAACCAGGTGAAAAGGGAGTCACAATCAGGCTTGTGACGAGCAGGGGCTGGGTCATGTGCCAACCCGAATCACATTAAATCACCCTTAGAGCGGGATGGGCTTGTGGGGGGAGTGTGGCACGGTCCTCTGAGGTATCCTGCAGTGCATTCCAGGGGTTGTCCCCGGGTCTCACGAGCGACATTCTCGGCGATACATTATACACCCTGTATAGCTTTTGGGAGCACTAGAGCTCAGACTGCCAGACCCCGCTATACGTATGTCATGACTCGAGGGTGGGAGGACCATTGTCGTCATTCCCGGCTGCCGACGTCCTTGGGAACCCCCCACCTTGGATGAGCGGAACTGGAACCTCTGCTGACTCCACTCCGCCAGCGGACATGGCTGTACCGCCTGCTCCGCTCCGCCCTATGGTTAGAACGCGCTGGTTGCCGCTTTAAGGCTGGTCATGCATGTCATGGTACAGGGTGTGGTTGGAGCTTCTAGGCGTCGACTTGCAATTGTGTCACACAGCCAATGGCCATAGAATGATTGTCATGGTAGTCAGAAGCTATTATTAATCCTGCAGTGCACGAAGTGAAACTGTGAATACTTAGTGATCAAACTCAGAAGGCATATTTGTGTTGGAAGGTGCAATATGGGGTCGATAGCCGGTTGTTAGCTTCTAGACAGTGGAGAATATTGTGTTAGCTCCACAGTGCAATGTTTCTGATATGCGTCACCCTATTTCTAGCCTTCAATTTGACAGTTAGTGGTATACTTGCAGTAAAATGTTATAGGAGGGGGATTCTACTACCGCGACGTGGAGTTATACATTATCCCCTGGCTGGGGGGAGGGGGGGAGGAAGCCCAATAGTACGTGAAATAAAGGCTATACTAAACCATCACATACTAGTCACCAGCGAACAACACAGAAATAGATCGATTAGCTCCATAATAGTGCGTGAGCACGAATATAGTTCAATCAATTCGCAAATGTGTGAGGGAGACGGAGAGGGAGACGGAAGTACTTGTCTACCCCTAAGTAGACCACCATCAATTTGCGACAAAGGGGGAGTCGATCTATCAATGACCAAGGCCGTGCCTGCCGTTATAGGTAGTGCCAACTATCGAGAGCTTTGGAAAAAGGAAGGAACGTTTTATTACCGAGTTAGTCATGCATGAATCTCTAGTTTGAAGCTTGCAATAATTTTTTTTTTTTTTTTTACTTGAGTTCCGGTTAGTGTGACATTTATGTGATCCTCATAGTTGTTTTTCGATTTTCTATTCTCAAGATGAGAGTGTTTGACTTTGCCCGGATGGTCGGTACAGCATGTTTCATTTTTCTGGGCTAACTTGATCAGGGGCTCGGGGTTGAGGGGTGTACTATATTTGGATCTGGGCTGCCCAACTGGCTCTCAATACATCTACACTCAACTATGAATGTCGCTGATACGATGCATAGTGAGGTGGTTGTTTGGCATACCTTCTAGCGTCTATAGAGGTCCCATCAACTTAAAATGAATTGATTGTCCTTGTTCCCGTTATTTGCCTTAGGGGCTACTCGGCGAAAGTTATCAGCATGCATTTCCTCAACACATCACTTGACAACCGCACGACGTCATATAACCATGGCACAGCAATGTAGATACCATTTCCTTCTCAAATTAGGTCCTACTACTCCCACCATCTCAAGGAACTCCTGCTGCTTGATCTGAACTCATCTACATCCATGTCAGAAATGCGTCGCGACAACGATCATTTCGAACTAACACTGGAAGGGAGTCTTACCAGTATCGCTCAAGGAATTTCGTCACAACAGGTTTCATTTCCTTCCACGGGTCTTGAATGAAACTAGGTTGGAAGTAGGCCATAGCACCGCTCAGAGTCTTAATCCCGTCCGACCATCTGATCAAGTCATCGTTTCGAAACTGTTTACGATTCGGTGCGGTGTATACATAAGGCGGTGGAGGTGGCCTGCGTTGGCTCACCATGACCCTCTTATTGTTCTGTTCCACAGGTTTATATGGCCCAGGCCTGGGCACTCCTGACTTGGATGCCACACTAGGGACAGGGTTCGCGATAACACGGTTATTCGTGCTAGCGGTGGGTTTCGCATAATGATCTGTTCAAAGCGCGAAACGTTAGAGATCGTTATTATATTGAGACATCACAAAGAGACTCGATACTTGCTATGTAAAACAGAACTACTCTTTACCGGCTCCTGCTGGCGGATCTTTGTGTCCAACGAGTTACTAGGATGCCTGCCATTGACCCTGACGTTTGTGGTAGGAGCAGGAGGAATCATCCCGTTGGTTTTGTTCTCCATGCTCACAGAGGCGCCTGTGGCTTTTGCAGCCTCGTTCAACGTCTCCCTGTGTAGCGGCTGAACCTTCCATTCCTCATAGAGAGGCGAGCGAGGTTTAGCCCGTCGGGGGCTCTGAACGTGTGGCTGGCTGGGCATCGTCTGATGCTTGGGCATCCTGTCTACCGGATTGCCAGGTTTGATCGGAGTGTAGTCCTTGATAGTGTCGGGGGCCCATTCTTGGAGGAACTCATATTCTCTCTGTGACACCTCCTTCTTCAGGATCTGTTTGGGTGTGAAACTGCACGCTGCCATCGTTGTTGGTAGATATGTAGAGTAGCGTTTGCGGTGGTGTAAAGTGTTGTAATCTAGAAGTTTCAAAGCAAGAGCTGCAAATATAGTAAGGAAAGGGCTTTCGAAGGTTTGTAGCAAGCAAAAGAAACACAGAAGTTGGAAATGGGAGGGCAGAGGGCAGAGGGCAGAGGGCAGAGGGCAGAGGGCAGAGGGCAGAGGGCAGAGGAAAGAGGAAAGAGGAAAGAGGAAAGAGGGCAGGTGTGGGTGCGAAGTGAAGTGGATGAGGGAATTAGTTCCCTGCCACACGATCTCGATAGAATACAATTCACGTTATTGTAAGTTATTCACTCCCATACATCATACAGGCACTCTTGCGCATGGCAGCGACATATGCAGTGTGCTTTACCTAGCATCAAGGCACCTTAATCATGCATAGTCCCGAACCAATTATGTTAGGATGGAACTTAGGCAGATTCAGATACGAACGCGAATAGGTCGGAATCTTCCATAGGAATCTTCCATAACTACACAATAGTCAATGTCTGTTATCGAAACCGCTGAGCTACCAAGATGCAATTGAGGGTCAGGATTAACACATGAAATATGAGTCTCCACTCAGAAGCAGTCTCATCCTGCAGCTAAAGCTGGGGTAAGATTCATTACAAAAAGGAAAATACTATCGTACTGGAGGGCGGTCTTGTAGGATGATATTGTTCGGTTCTTAGCATTTACCCCCCAGGCTTCCTTCAAAGGGTACTCCAGGGATGACAGGCGTCTACAACAGCCGGAGGCATCGATACCATAGCCTCTATACTACGTAGGAGAGGGAGCTCTGTGAAAGATCATGTCATTTATTTATTCGTAGAGATTTGATCTCTATTAAAGCATTTTCATGTATATTTTCAATACTACTTTCTGGATATTTCAACATCATCAAGTATGGTGCCAAAGGGAATCTATCATGATTACCTGATCCTTCATACCAGAAGTTTTACTTCTGACCATAGTCATACCGACCTTCAACCATAATATGTCTACAGTTAGCCATTAGCCTATGTATTTTACATCAATGCTAATGACCATATAGTTTTATACCTTCAAATGCCTATTGACTTATAGCTTATCAGAATTCAAATAGAATAACTTTTGCATGCAAGCGATCAATAGTAGCTACAAAGTAAACAGCAGTACCAGATAAACAATATCGTCTATAAGCAGAAATAAATATGGAATCTTTAGGTCGGAACCCGGTTATAAAAGGTGAAGGGCCTCCGTGATGTTCTACCAACACGACACTGCAGGCAGTAAGCGACTCAACTTGAGCTGCAGAGGCGTTGGGCCGCTTTACAACAGTAAGAGAATGGGTCCACTCCATATCTTCAGTTGAGCTTTTTGGCGGCAATCTAATCAAAAGCCTTGAAGCCCTTGTAATTTTAAACACGATCCGACAATCGCCTGTCGCCAGTGACTCGTCACACTGTCACCACGACTCCATCAGCTGGTGCACAGTCTCCACGCTCAGACCACAGCAAGCCTTGGCTGCAAGGAACAGCACTATCTGGGTAGTGCACCATGTCTAGTAACAAGCGATATTATTATTGAGTTTAGCATCTAAATAAGCTTACAAGCGAATAGCCAACGTAGCGACAATCTTAAGATGGTCCCAGACCTTGAGAAGGAGCAAACGCTCCTTAAACACCAGAACGCTCTGCCTCGATAGCGTTGTTGATAACCTGCACGAAGCGGCCAACCTTATCCACGTCTTTCTTAGCCGTCTGAATCCCACTGAAGATCTTCTTCACACCAACTCCAATGGTGCCGTCATCGGATATACTGCCAATGCCTGCCAGTGCCTGGCCAATTTCCTGCTCGTTGAATGCGCCAGAATGCTCCAAGATGTGCTTTAGCTCATCGTATGTCATCACGTTGGGAACCATGATGTCGGCATCAAAGGAGCTGAACAAGTCAAGCTGCTTCATCACAAATCTCTGCGTAGTGGTTGCTATGATCAAGAGTCGGCGACCCTTGTTAGGATGTTTCCTCAACACGGCCTGCAAAGTCTGCAAGATTGTGTTGCTGAAGCGAGGGCCGACAGGAACCCACTCGATGAGCTTCTCGAGATTATCGATAACGACAACACTTGTGCGACTCTTATAAGCATCATCGAAGACTTTGATAATGCGCTGAACCTTTGCCGTTTCGCTGAAGCCTCCCATGTCTTCGGGACTGATCAATTTAATGAAGGGGAATCCAGAGTCTATAGCAATTCGAGCCGCGAGAGCCGTTTTGCCACTTGCAGTGGGCCCATGTAGCAAAACCGAGAACAAAGGTGAGGATTCATCCTCGGCAACTTGCTTGACGAACAGGCCGCCCTCCTTGAGGATTTCATTGATCACGGGCGAGAAGTGTGTGATGCCATGTTGAATACGACTAGAAAGCTCTTCTTCAGAGACACCAAACGCAGGTGTGACCTCTTCGAGCGCATGGTGGAAGTCGGACCGGTTGACCTTCATGTTCACGACATCGTCGCTGATGCTGGCTGTCGTGCCCGCCTTGATATGCCGGGAGAATGCAAAAGAAGATGCGGACTTCACAAGACCAGATATTTCAGCACCAGAGAAGTTCTTGGTCATCAGGGCCAGCTCAGCCAGGTCAACATCATCATCCATGACGTCGTTATCCCGCATCTTTTGGGTGTGAATCTTAAGAATCTGGGCTCGGCCTTTCTCATCAGGAAGAGAGATCTCCATATGAACTTCAAGACGACCAGGACGCAACAGTGCCTCATCAATCATGTCCTTTCTGTTGGTCATTCCAATGAGTAGGATATTGTTGAGCTGATCCACACCATCCAGCTTCGAGAGCAGCTGGTTCACCACACTGTCACCAACGCCCGTACCACCTCCAGCTCCACTGCCACGCTGCTTGCAGACAGCGTCTAGTTCATCGAAGATGATGATGTGAAGACCACTTTCATCTCCCTTTTCTTTGTATTCCTTCTCGGCGTCTGCGAACATTTTCCGAATGTTTTCTTCGGACTGACCAACATACTTGTTAAGCACTTCGGGTCCGTTGATGACCTTGGGCTCCCGGGCATTGAGCATCTTTCCGATCTGACGAGCAATCAAGGTTTTACCCGTTCCGGGAGGACCATAAAGCAGGATACCCTTGACGTGCTGAAGTCCCAATTTCTCCACCAAACCCGGAGGGAAGATACGGGACGCGAACGCACGACGGAAGATAGTACTGAACTCGGAATCAAGACCACCAATGCCCATGTTCTCGAACTTGAAGTCAGGTTGGATGATGGAGTTCGCCGCCGGTCGGCGGTTCGAGGGCTTCAAGTTGATACCAGTACTAGCATCCTTGAAGAACGTAATCTGGGAGTGCCTGGTGAGTATACCCCGCGCCGTAGGATCCGTCTCGACGCTGCCACCGCTGGCAGTCTCCGAGGATAGATCGACTCTCTGAACGGTTTTGACGGTCAACAGAAGTGGGATGCTGCGATGATCCATTAATATTTTCTGGCCGGGGGCGAAGATTTGGTTCTCGAAGTTCTGTACAAATCAGTTGCCGCTCTTTCTTCCACCGGAAATGGGGAAAAGTACCCTGATCACCACACTTGCCAGCTCATCTTGATCATATGGAGTCTCGACCCGCTTCTTCCCAGCAAACCCAACCTCAATATCTGTAGAACCGACGTAGGCCTGTCCGCCCTGACTGAAAGGGTCGTAGATTTGCACCGAAACGGTATCCGTGAAAGCGACGCCAGCCCATGTCCGCTGAGGATCAGACATGCTGATTTGTCCCGGGGGGAACCCATCAAGAGGGCGCGCGGAGAAGACGTAGAGACCGTTAATGAGTAGGAGGAGATCGTGTCCATCGCGGGAGGGTGGGAATTCCTGGGCGGAAACAGCAACCCTAGACACAGTTAGAAGAAGGACAAGCGAGGCAGCGACCACATTTGAACGTACAAGTTCCCAAATGTATACGTATTATCCGGGCTCTTGGCAGGACGCAGCGTCCATGATCGGCCTGAGCTCACGGGCTTCTCCCCAACGGGGTTTCTCGGAGGCATTTGCGGCGGTCTCCCGGTATATTGGGGTGGCGCTCCGTATCCTGCAGGACTAAATACCAAGCGTATCAACCACTGTTGTTTCATTATGGTGCCGTGTAAGGTCCATACCTTGCGCCCGACCTGGAGGGGTAGGGGGCTTGTCCTTGAGCTGGGTTGGTATAACCGTCGCCTCGAGAGGGGCGGGAGCCGAAAGGATTAGGGACGGAAGGATAGTTGTTGCGATTGAACATCTTCAGACCAGATAGAGGAGGACTTCGAGTTGCAAATTAAAAGGGAACTGCAATGAGTTCCCAGACGAGGACAGAGTATGTATAGACTGGTTACTTGTGGCGGAGCGATGCTGCCAGCAGCTGTTGCCTTGAGACCAAGTACTCAAATGATCTGATTATGACTAGATAGTATATGAGTACACAAGCAAAATGTGATGTTGAGTATAGGCAACTGAATATATGGAATAGAAGTGAGGTAGAGGATGGAAAGAAAGAAGAATAATGAGAGGTGGCGGTCTCACATTGGATGGGGGGGGAAGCTCCAGCGCCCGCGACACATGGACCGTAGGTAAGGTACCCAGGGTTCCCGCCCCATCGGTCGGTCCGCCCACCTCCGTCTTCGCCGACCGGTCTGGATGACGCTGCTTCTCGTTCACGCACCCCGGAGGGAGAACTGACGCCTCCATCCCCACCAGTTCATTACATCGCCATACCTTAAAGATGCCTCTGTCAGTATACCATATTCCCCCTGTCTTGGCATGCTTGAGTACTTACAGTGTTCTTTTGCAGTCACCTTCTCGGCAAGAAGTCATGGAACGTCTACAACCCAGCGAACATCGAGCGCGTTCGGCGCGACGAGGCTCAGGCCAAAGCCCAAGAAGAGGAGGAAGAGCGTCTCATGCAAGAAGCTGATGCTGAACGAAGGATTCAGATACTCCGCGGCGAACGGCCTTCAACACCACCTCCGCCGCCCCCAACGCCGTCCGGCCGCCCACAAGAGAGGAAAAGTCATACAGAGGATGCAGGCCGATTTAGAAAGAGAAGGCGCTTAGCCGGAGAGGATGATACAGATAGAGACATTAGATTTGCACAGGAAGACGCACAGTTGGCGCTGGATAGACGGGCGCAACAAGCCGCTGCTCGGTCAAGCGATGCGCCACTTCATGATAGTACTGGTCACATTGATCTGTTCCCTTCAGAGGCGAAGCGCAAGCCCGTGGAACAGAATGCAGAGGCAGAAAAGGAGGCGAAAGACAAGAAACGAGAGCTCGAAGACCAATACACGATGCGATTCTCTAATGCGGCTGGGTTTCGACAATCTGTTGGACAAGACCCTTGGTATTCGTCTTCGCAACGCGAGGGCGCAGCTGCTGAATCCATGCCAAGCAAGGACGTCTGGGGAAATGAGGACCCATTAAGGAGAGAAAGGGAGAAGGCCCGGATGGATGCAAATGACCCGCTCGCGGCGATGAGAAAGGGCGTCCGCCAGTTGAAGACGGTTGAGCAGGAGAGGAAAAGGTGGAATGAGGAACGAAGTCGAGAGCTGGAAGCTCTGAAGGCTTCGGAGAAGCATCGATCTTCTCATCGCAGTAGGAGGTCGCCATCGCAGGATAGCATCGAAGGCTTCAGACTTGATGCTTCCCCGGATAGGCGTCGAGATGACAAGGATGGAAGATCCCGTCGACACCATCGGCATCGTAGAGATAGAAGTCGAGATCGTTCGCATCGACGAACCTCCCATTCTGATTCGCGGTCTCATCGTTCTCATCATGATCGACACCACCGACACAGGGATTCCAGACGCCATGACGAAGACTCCCGATCGAGACGTTGAAGTGTTCAACTTCGCACTCACACCAGAACTTCATGGGCAGCTTACAACTCTAGGCTCTCTTGTACACGATCTAAAGCTACATTCGTTGAGTCGTACTCTTAGTCGATGGAAGCAGGTAGCGAGCCTTGTCTATGACTAACGCATTTTGAAGACTATCTATCTACTTAAACTGGAGATGAGTCTGCAACGAGACCTGCAACTTATTGCAGACCCCACTTCTGGGAACCCTTTTCGCCATCCTGGCTATCCCATTCGATGGTAATGTCCAAGGAGCGGGACTTCTCCGACTTCTTTTGATAGCCGACCTTTCCAGTGATGGTCTGGCCCTTCTTCAAGGCGACGCCCTTTCTCTTCTCATGGTCGATGAGAAGGATACTCTGCTGCCAGTGCGTCTCTTTACCATAAGGTCCCGTGGTGAAAGCGACGATGCCCTTCTTCTGCATTTCGGACGGAACAGCGTCGTCGGCAATGGGTGAGTCGCTCGAAGGCATGAAAAAGATATCGAACCAGATAGCAAAACCGTCCAGCGCGTCAATGTCCTCGGTAAGAGTGACCTGGAATTCCTTCAGGAACGACAGCTCCTCAACAGTGATGGTATGTAGAGGAAGGGGAAGGAAAACGGCAGATTGGCCAGGAATCGATGATGGCTCCACGACACGAACCAGAGCCTCATCATAGATACCAGTCAGCATGCTGCTCATATTGAAGCCGTACACACTCTTCCAGAATGAGATGTGGTTTGCGATGAAGTCAGGGTCGGCGAAGGGAGCGACGCGGAGTGTAGCGTGCGAGGGAACCATGAGTCCTCCGGGGGCGAGATACCGGTCCCGAGCGTAAATGACCGAGTCAAACATGGCCTCGAACAGTAGACCGTAGCCCATCCATTCGGAGATAATGATGTCAACTTGCTGAACTGGCAGCGTGACTTCCTCAATTTTACCGCGAATGCACCTAGAAGTTTAGGTATCAGCTGTCAGTCACGCAACTAGAAAAACCAAGATATTGCGAAACATACGTTATGACATCACCAAATCCATTCTCGTAGATGATTTCCTTGGCTCTATCAATAATATTGGAATTATCGACCGAAATAACCTTCTTCGCACCGGCCTTCGCGCAGAACATGGACAAAATGCCAGTTCCGCAGCCAACATCGAGGACAACCTTATCCTTGAACACGTGCTTGTTCTCATATACGAAGTCGCGGTAGGAATCAGTGCGGATGGTGTCCTTGAGCATGGACTCGTGGATTCCTAGATAAGAAGCGCGTTAGTATCAGAAACCGAGCAGCCCTGGGATCAAGGACATCATACCGTTGTAGGCGTAGGAAGTGAAATAGTCCGCGTCGATTTCTTCGACCCTGTTAGCGGCCTTTTGTGCGGACGCGTCACTGAGGGTAGAGCCGAGCTTCTCATCCTCCTTGGTCAATTGCTCCTCCATAGACTTCTGCACGGCCTCTCTATACTCGGAGAACTGGGTTTGAAGGCGTTCCAGGTCTTCCTGGAGTTCGATCACGCGTCTTTCAGCGTCAGAACCACCAGTTGTCTCGGCGGTTTCGTCCTCAATGTCATCCAGACTGTAGAGAAGGGCATCATCCTCCAGCACGGGCTTCAGGTAAGCATCGTCCTCGAATTTGTCGGCGGAAGAGACGTCGGGAGACATGTTGCCTTCTTTCACTTGAGTTCGGACATAGTTGACCAACTTGATAGTACCCAGGAAGTCCAGGTCTGATAGCGAAACACAAGTTGAAATAGGTTAGCCATAGTTCATATCAAATGTATCGACCAACAGACAATCGTCCGGGCTTGAGCAGCAGAGGGAAATAGCAAATGCTAAATCCAAGTACAATTGACTACACACCGAGCTCCTTTTGAATCCTCCGCAGATCAAAGTTGTACTTGTCTTTGGTCTCCTTGAGCATGGCCCGCACGTCAGGGTAAACCTTCTCGGAGAACAGGCCCACGACGGGCTGGGTATCATCATCGGGCTCGACATCTTCCCATCCTTCCTCGTTGCTTACATCCGAGCTATCGGAAGAGACGGAGCGTGCATCATCGTCTCTGGGCAGACGCTCAGAGGGGAGAGCAGAAGCAGACATGGCGCAACTGCGGGGAAACAGAACCAATTGAGACGGTTATTTTTCGTAGGAGCGGGACTGGTATATTATGGTATCTAAGCGACAACCAAATGAAATTGAACCAAAGACACTGTCACTAGATATGAAGAAGAAGAGAAGAAAATGTCGGAGCTAATGGTTGCTGCCGACAGAATTCGATATGGAAGTACCTGAGGAGGAGGGGTTGAGTCGAGATTCCCGCCGGAGAAAAAAAGTCAAATAATCGAGGGGAAAAAATTAGAAAATTCTCGGAAAAGGCAGCCCCGCCGGCTTGGGACTGGATTGGGTTGATTTGTTCCAAATGTTTATCCACCTGACGGGGCCCAGAACTGCGATAACAGCCTGAGGCCATCGGCTTCCCCGCCAACAACAGCGTCACCGCTTCCCTCACTGCTTTCCAGACCAAACGATCCCCTCTTGCTCGCCTGCCAGATAACCCCCACCCCTTGAAGACCACTGTTATTACCGTTGCAGCTGCAGAGAGACTGTGACACTCTGTTTGTTTGACCTGCTTTCCCTTACATGTCCCTATAGCTAGTGTGCTGCCCGCGAGGAGCGACTATCCCCTCCGCCTTCACTCCCTCCCTGTTTTGGTTTTGTTGCCAATACAAACAACAACCATGGCCTTCTTCTTCAACCGTGGTCGGTCCCGCCAGCCTTCGGACATTGCCAGATCAATCAAGGAACTCTTGGTGAGGCTTCGAGAATCGCCAACCACTGCCAAGGTTCGTCGCTCCGATCTGTTATGTTTACATTTGCGGCTGCCGATAAGCAACTTCCAAAACAAAGGAGTACTGACCATTCCGTAACCCGATAGGTCGAAGATGATCTGGCGAAGCAACTATCTCAGATGAAACTCATTGTTCAGGGTACTCAAGGTATGTCTCATGCATGAACCCTTACCAATGGCCCTTTTTCTCCCAGAACAAGTGCAGGGGCGCCAGATGGGCTTCGGAATGGACGTCGGCTGATGTGAGCTTACCTTTCAGAAATTGAGGTGTCCCTCGAACAAGTTCAAGCATTAGTGCAGGCTACCCTGCAGGAAGATTTGCTCTACGAACTAGCCCAAGGGCTTCATCGTCTGCCCTTCGAAGCTCGAAAAGACACACAAACTATCTTCTCCCACATCCTCCGTTTCAAACCCGTCAATGCAAGCCATGCAGACCCTCCTGTCATTTCCTACATTGTCCACAAACGACCCGAAATTATCATCGAACTGTGCAAGGGCTACGAGCATAGCCAAAGTGCCATGCCATGCGGCACTATCTTGCGAGAAGCGCTGAAGTTTGATGTTATCGCGGCAATAATCCTCTATGACCAGTCGGAAGAGGGGGAGCCAGCGATTCGACTGACGGAGGTGCAGCCGGGCGTGCCTCAAGAGGGCAATGGCATATTCTGGAGGTTCTTTTACTGGATCGACCGAGGGAGCTTCGAACTGAGTGCCGACTCTTTCACAACGTTTAGGGTGAGCGCTTGTGTCGGCTTTTGACACCATGCCGTCCCGGAAGCTAACTGATGTGCAGGAGATCTTGACCCGCCATAAATCCATCGTTACGGGCTATCTGGCCACGAACTTTGACCTCTTCTTCGCCAAATTCAACGAGGTACTTGTACAGTCCAGCTCGTATGTCACTAAAAGACAAAGCATCAAGCTACTAGGAGAGATCCTTCTGGACCGAACCAACTACAATGTGATGATGGCCTATGTGGAGAGTGGGGAGAATCTCAAGCTGTGTATGAAACTGCTGCGGGACGACCGAAAGATGGTCCAGTATGAGGGCTTCCACGTGTTCAAGGTATGTGGGCAACTTCTAGCTTGGTCCGCTGCAAGGACCCAGGCCACTGACCCTTATTACATTACAGGTGTTTGTTGCGAACCCCAATAAATCGGTTGCGGTGCAGCGGATCCTGATCAACAACCGTGATCGGCTGTTGAAATTCTTACCGAGGTTCCTAGAGGACCGGACGGACGACGATCAATTTACGGATGAGAAGAGTTTCCTGGTGCGCCAGATTGAGCTTCTTCCCAAGGAGCCGATTGAGCCAGCACGGTCCGCGCGCGAAGCGTCTCGCTCCGGCATCAACACGGCAGCAGTGGCCTGAAGGCCTTGTGAATGAAGAATTAAGCTGCGACCATTGGCAGGGGAACGGCCAATCTATCGATCCTCCCGTGCCAATATGCTTTTTACCCCTGCTTTTCCTTTGTCGACCAAGTGCGGGTCTGCGTCGGAGGGCCGTGTGCACTGGGGGCACGCTAGGCCGCGGTGCCGTTTGTTTGCATTGAAGGCAAGCTGGTTTCTAGCCTTCTCGGAGTTTAACAGTGGGTTGTCACAATCTAAAGGGAAAGAAAGGGGACAAGAATTAGGGTTTGAATTTTTTTTTTTTTTTTTTTTTTGTTCTGAAAAAAAACCTGAAAGCCGGCCGCAAGAGAAGGGCAGAAAGAAGAAGTGCACGAGAATAAAGAATCGCCCCTAAGGGCAGTAGTCCTTGCATGTAAGTAACGCCGGATGTAGATAAAGTCAGTAGGCAAATCATGGAAGTGGATCAGAGTAGTGTTTACGGGATACTACTAGTAGTAGATACTTCTGTAGAGAACCTGGAAATAAAAACCGGGAACTGTAAGATCATCATCCATGCATATAATATTGTAGGATTGCAGTAGACAAAGGACGGAGAATTTTACACAGACCTGATGAATTCTTCACTTGAGCGAAACCCCCCTCTCTGTCAAGGGGGAGGGAAGCGAAGCCACTGCTAGTAGACTAGTTAGTGTACTTTCTAGTAGGGAAAAATAGTGAGAGACTTGACGTTTCCCCTTTCCTCGGCCGGGTCAGTATCATCCACTCCTGCTGTCTATCTCGCAACCTAAAAGATTAGTAGTTCTACTAGGAGTAGGGAGGGAGCCGACGCTATCCCCTACCTAGCCGAGAGAATTAAAGGGTAAAAAATAAATAAGAAAAATTACAAGCCCCAAAATTCCAAACCGCAAAAGGAGGAGAAAGAAAAGCAGATAGGCACGAAAG